GGCTCCCGGGTAGCCCACGCCTCCCGGCCCCCCCCAGCCCTCCCCCCTCGGATCCCAGCTCCCGGCTGGTGTCTGCAACACCTGCTGCTTGGAGGGTGGGTAAAGCAGCACCGTAATGCTGCTAATAACACGCATCCTAAAATGCCCCCCCACTCCCTCCCTTCTGCCAGCTCCAGCCTCCGATTTGAGGGGTGCTACCATAAGGCAACTAATAATGGGCATGCTCTCATTGGGGCGCTGCTCCCAGAGCCTCGGGGCCTACCCTAATGCTTCTGATAGCATGTATGGTGTCCTGAGACCCTGAGCTCAGGCATGGTTTATTGGCCGGGGTGGGGCTTACCATAATGTTGCTGACAGTGCACACGATGTCCTGAGACCCTGAACTCGGAGTAGTTTATTTTCTGGGGGCGTGAGGTGAGGGTTACCATAATGCTACTAATAGTGTGCATGATATCTTGAGACCCTGAGCTCAAGGGTTCTTGGGGGGGGCGGTTACCATAATGCTACTACTAGCATGCATAATGTCCTGGGACCCTGAGCTCGGGGGTGGCTTATTAGGAGTGGAGGTGGGGCGGGGGTACTGTAATGCTACTAATAGGGCATATGCCATTAAGGGATTGTACGCTCAGAGAGTGGGGGGTGTTTGTGGGTGGTACCATAATGCTGCTAATAGCGTGCATATCCTTATGGGGCACTGGTTTCAGGTTTTGGGTGCTGCCATGTTTCTGATGATGCACACCCTAGAATAGGCCCTTGATTTTGGGTTTGGGGATGTTACCATAATGATTCTAATAATGCGCAGCCCATAATGGGGCCCTGATCTCAGATGTGAGGGTGTTACCATAATGCTACTAGTGCATGTGCCCTCACAGGGGTATTGATGTCAGGTTTTTGGCTGCTACCATCATTTTGTTAATAATGCACACCCCATAACTGGGCCCTGATCTTAGGTTTTAAAGGCTACCAGAAGATGGTTAATAATGCCTTGTCATGGTGGGAACCTTGCTTTCAGGGTGTTTTGGGTGCTACCATAATGATTCTAATAATGCACACCCAAGAACAGGACCCCAGTCTCAGATGGCGGGGGAGGTGCTACCATAATGCTACTAATAGTGTCTGTGTCTTAGGGGCCCTGATCTCAGGTTTCTGGGTGTTGCAGCAATGCTGCTAAGAACAAACACCCCATAATAGTCCCCCAATTTCAGGGTTGGGAGGCTGTGGGTGCTACCTTAATGCTGCTAATAATGCTCATGCCATCATGGGACCTTGATCTCATTTTTTGGGGGGGCGGGCAGGGGGCGGGAGGGCTTTCCATAATGCTTTCAATAATGCGACTGCCATCATGAGGCCCTGATCTCAGTCACAGAATCTGGGTGCTACTGTAATGGCAGTGATAATGCGCATGCTGAATTGGGCTGAGTTCTTGCTGTAATTCTACTAAATAACTCACATGCCAAACAGGGTCCCAGGCTTCACCACTGGCTGAGAGCTCCGCTGTTTATTGCTGACGACCTCTCCCATCCCTTCCATGTGGTGCATATCCCCTCTGCTCTTCCCCTGCCCCAGCCCCATGCCCCTGGCTCGAGGAAGGGGTGCACCAGTCCAGACAGGGCAGGCGGGGGCCCTGGCTCCCCGCTCGCTAGCAGACTTCCTGCAGAGCTGTGGGTTCCACTGTCTGCAGCCCGATCTTCTCCTTCTGCTCCGTGGTCCTGAGGTCTCCAGCCCTTTTCCTTTGGAAGGAGAGAGAGAGAGAGAGAGAGAGAAATCAGGACCAGGCCTCCTGGAGTCCTGTGTCCAGTTCTGGGCCCTGCACTTCAAGAAGGAGGTGGACGAGTTGGAAAGAGTCTGGCACGGGGCATCCAAAGGAGACAGGGCTGAGGAGGAAAGGCTGAAAATCTGGGGGTGATTAAATCTGGAGAAGAGAAGATTTGGGAGTGGGGGGAGGGAACTGGATCAAAATCAAATCAACCCCCTGAAGGGCGATGACAGGGAGGATGGAAATGGGCTTTCTCTGAGGCCACAGGGGACAGGACTAGGGGCACCAGATTCAAGCTGCAGCAGGGGAAACTGAGACTAGAGATGATGAGGAACTTCCTGACTCGGGGCGCAAGGGGGGCGACAAGCATTGGGCCAGGCTGCCCAGAGAAGTCACGGATTCTCCATCTCTTTGAGATTTTCAAGATCCGGGGGACAGAGACTGGGCTGGGGTGGTTTAGTCCGGGCTGATGCTGGCTTGAATCATAGAGAAGTGGGGCGGGAAGGGGGCTCCATGGCTCATCTAGTCCATCTAGGGGGCTGGACTAGATCTCATGGAGCCCTTCCAGCCTGACTTTCCTATCATCCTATATCTGTGGCTGGCAGAAATCACAGACATCCTAGGGAAGAGGCCGGCAGGGACCTCCAGAAGTCGCATCCAATCCAACCCCGGCCCGAGGCAGGATCAGCCCTGTCCAAACCAGGCCAGAGAAACTCATGGTCCAGCCTCTTTGTAGAGTGGCCAGCAGCCCGGACGCAGCACCAGACTTTGCACCCAACTGGCCCCAGGGAAAGCCGGGGCACCGCAGCAGCCAGCATCCTACTCGTGTAACAGGTTGTTAACACAGGCGTGAGAGATCCCAGGTAGGGGCCGTGTCCATGCTACAGAGGAAAGCAACCCCCCCCCCAGCCCAGACCAAGCTGACCAGGGGGTAAAATTTCTTCCCAACCCCAAATAGGCCATCAGCCTGGCCCGGAGCGGAGGGGCAAGACCTCTCGCCAGGAGCCTCTGGGGCCGAGTCTCAGCAGAGACCTTACCTCGTTGTATGGATCAAAGCTGATGGCCCCACGATCCTCCAGGGTTGATTCCTACCTCTCTGTTTTTGAAAGGCAGAACGAAGGGGAAAGGTGTGTCGTGTGTTCAGAGGCGTGTTGTACGTACGAAGATACGGTACCGTCAGCTTTGGGGCTGGAGGCCATGGGCTGGCTCTAATGCCACGTGCCCGGTCTGGGGCCAGGCCTCGGGTCCGGCTGCAGACCGACCCAGCATGCCAACCTGCTCTTGGGACCAGGCCGTCATCCGACCGAGGGAGCTCCTCAGGGGTCTGGAAATTTGTCACCGGGGGGAGTGGCATCCCTAATTGCTGCAACGCCCAGAGGATCTGTGCTTCTCACTTAACATTTCCCCCACCCCGGCTGTCTGGGGGGGCGTGTGCGCATTACATGTGAGAAATTACGGTAATCCTGATACATTAAGGCACGCGTGTGAGAAGTACGGTATACTTCTTGCACATAATGTGCACATCCCTCTCCCCTTCCCAAACACCTGGGGTGGGGGAGAGGTGCTCACCAGCTCTGCTGCCCCCTAGTGGCGAGGTGGTGCAATAGCACCTGCTGTACAGCTACCCCAGGGGCAATTATGTGTCTGTGCACGCCTGAAATGGGGGTATCTTACCTCCGCGCGCCTGTACCCCAGGAGGGATGACTGGGGCTAACAACTCGACCCATGCTCCCAGACTCACCTGCTTTCCACTTCTTCTATGGTGTCCGGCAGCGGGAGGTTGAGGGTCTCCGGCAGGAATATAGCAGCGATGCCCGAGACGATGGGCGCGGTGCCATATATAATCGGCGGGAGGTAGGGGATATATTCTCCCGTCACCCGTATTGCAGGGGCCACGATGCCTCCAACACGGGCCATGGTACTGCCCAGCCCCATGCCGGTCTGCCTGTCACAGGAGAAGACATGGTAGAAAGGTGCATGAGCCTGCGCGTGTGTGACACCACGTGGACGCACGGTACCGTTCAGCCCCAGGGGGTGGAAATAAATCCACCCTGGAGAAATTAATTCAGATTATATGTTATGTGTCCGTTATCTTCATCCGCTGCAGTCTGGGGTAGCCACCTGCTCCGTGCAAGACGGCTCCCACCCCCTGCTGGCAGGATCTGGCCGTAGCACTTCATTCAGACCAGCCAGCTTGGGAGAATTACCATATTTACTTGCATACCATACACCCCCCCCCCAAATTAGGGTGCAAATTAGGGTGCACCCCCCGCCCCAACTGTTTTTTCTGCTGTGGGTCTCACTTAGCTCTGGTGTTGGTTGGGGGTGGCCTGATCCTACCTTAAGCCTGAGGTTGGACTTAGTGTAACCTCCCAAGGGCTCTCCCAGCCCCGCTCTTCTATCATTCTCTGACAATGTGTAGGTGTCGACGCCTTGCGTTGCCACCTACCTGATGACGGTGGGATACAGCTCTCCCGTGTAGAGATACAGGCAGTTGAAGGAGGAGGCCAGGCATCCCTTCCCCAGGACAGCCAGGGATGTACGGAGGGCTTTAAGCTCTGGTGGGAAAGACGCAGAAGGATGCTACCGTACCTTCTCGCATACAACACGCCTCAGAATACACGATGCAACTTTCCCCCCTCATTCTGCCTTTCAAAACCAGAGGGGCAGGAACAAACCCTGGAAGACCATGGGGCCATGAGCTCTGATCAGGATCTTGCTGCACAGGAATTAGCCGTCCCCATGAAAAGCTCCCAGTTTAAATAGTCAAGAGGCAGCCCAATCAGCTCCCAATTTGGGAAACTGAGGCAGAGAAGGGCTTGCCTTAGGCCATACAAGGGTTTTGGTAGCAAATAAGAATGGATACCCCAGGCTGCCATGTGTGTTGTGCCCCCCAGCGGCAGCAGTCAGTACTGTACCATATTATCTGCATACAATACACCCCTGGATATAATATGCACCTTGTTTTTGAGAGGGACAGTGACGAAAGAAAGTTTTTTTTTCCAGAGTTTTGGCTGGATAGCGGGTGATCTTTAGCTGGCTCACCCTTGCTTTCTTGCTGAACTAAAGCTGAAACCCTAGATGCTGCTGAGGACTTTGGTTGCTCCCTCCCCCACTTCCTGCTACATGTCAGGTGGTTTTTATGTCTTCCCCCGGGGCAAACAGCAGCAGTGCACACGGTTTCCCACTGGCACCCAGAGGCACTGGGTGCTGGTTACAGCCCAGGCGGGGGGTGGTGACTGGGCTGTGCCAATGCTTCTGCTGGGACTTGAAGCTGAAGGTTACTGGTCAGACTGGTATGGACTTGGGGGGTTTTCCTTCCTTGCCTCTCTGATTCTATGATATACGATTGTGACCGCTCTGCACGGGGGTGGGGGGGCTTCACGATTTCAAAAGAACAACCGAGTCTTCAAGGCTGTGCAGCAGGAGGAGAGCGCCCAGGCGCAGCTAGCAGAGCGCTAAATTGCCTGAAGGATGGTTGGCTTGACTAGTGGAGCACCAAGACTTCGCCAGGTCGTGGGGCTTAGCCGGCTAAGACCACCCAGCTCCCCAGCCCCCCACCTCGTGGCACAAAGATGTTAGCCAGGATCGCCAGCCCTGCCAGGATGACGGAGGCGGCCTGCGTGGCTCGCCGGCCAATGAAACTCATGCCGATAGCCGAGCCTAGCTTGGCCGGGATGTCGATGGAGCCGAATGCCACTTGGATGAGGTAAATGTTGAAGCCAAAATGCTGCAGGTCCATGGCCAGGCCATAGAAGGCAAAGCTGGTGGCAAACCTGTGGAAGGACGCAAGGGCCATCAGTTCATCCGCTCTCCCATCCAAGAGCCGACCCTCCTCAACCCTGCTTCGCTTCCCAGGGGTGCTGGGGCCTGCCCAGACCTAGCGCCCGCTCCTGGGGCTCCCCTTTAATGCAGCACAGCTGCCGGGGCAAAGGTGTACGTGGTCTCCCACCTGCACATCGACCCTCCCCAGTCCTGCTTAGCTTCCCAAGGGACAGCAGGGTCTGCCTGGGCAGAGCGCCGCCTGCTGGCTGTCTGGCAGAGCACAGCGTCCCCTCGTGCCTACCAGACGCTGGCGATGCAGCAGGATATCTTCCGTACGGCCGGTGTCCGGACCAGGCTGTACAGGGTATAGGAAGACTGGGCCAGAGCCATTTCTTTCTGCATATTGGACTTCAGCACCTACAGAGTGGGGAGAGAGACGGGGCGCGGGGGAATTGTTCCCACCCCGGGGTTGCTGTCGCGGAGGTCCCTACTCGCTGGATGTCCAAGGGGGAAGATCCCCTGGGGCCCCACCACGAGGAGCACTAGGGTCAGGGTTAGACCCTGCTCCCCTTGTAGAGTCGAGAAAGGAGCCAGTGTCCTGCTCTTCTAGCCTGGGGGTGGGGACCCCGGTGACCTGGATCCCCGCTCTCTCTAATGGTTGGACTTGATTCATCTTTTGGAGTTGCAGATAGGACCCAGGCATCCCAGCTCCTGGCTTTCTCCAATCTCCTTAACCCATTCCCGCTCTAGAGCAGGGACGCAGCCCAGGCGTCCGGGCTCCTACCTCCTCCCATTGACCAGACCCTACTCCTCTTCCAGCACGGGGAACGCTGTCCCGGCTCCTGATGGTTGGACCCTACTTGTCTTCCAGAGCAGGGGCAGGGGCCAGGCATCCCGGCTGCCATGAGCGGAGCCCCTTCCTCTCCTGATCGCTCGTGCTTTCCTTTGAGGATGCGTGGGTGCCATTTGCCCTCTCACCTCAGTATCCAGCTTGTCGCCTTCCTCCTTCTTCCCGTTGATGCGGGCGACCTTCTTGAGCACCATCACGGCGCGGTCAGGCCGGCCCGAGAGCACCAGCCAGCGCGCCGACTCGGCGAACCACCTGCGGGAACGAGCGTCCGCGTCAGAGCAGCTGGACGGGGGCTTCCCTGGGGCTGGGGAGCAGGATCAGGAGGAGAGGCTGGAATAACGGGCAGGACCGAGCCCTTGGGTTGACTGGGATTATTGAGTTTTGGGGATGACTGGGGTGATCTGGATTATTGAGCTATTGGGATTATTGATAATGGAGCTATTGGGATGATCTGGATGATGGATTATTGAGTTATTGTGCTCATTGGTTATTGAGGTATTGGGTTGATTTGGATTACTGAGCTATTGGGATGGTTATTGAGCCATTGGGGTGATTGATTATCAAGTTATTGGGGTGATTTGGAATATTGAATTTGAATAATTCAGATGTTTGATTACTGGGATTTGTAGATCTACTGGGATGATCTGGATTACTGATTAACGAGTTACTGAGATGATTGATTAGTGAGCTGCTGATTAATGATTAGCAAGTTACTGAGTTATCCGGATTACCAATTTATTGAATTTGAGATACTGGGATTGCTGATTGTTGAGTTATTGGGATTGTATGGATTATTGAGTTTGAGTTATTGGGATTATTGATTTTTGGAGGCTTGCGTACTGGATTATTGATTACTGTGTTACTGGGATTATTGAGTAATTACTACATCATTTGGATTATTGACTGTTGGTTTTATTGTGTTTATGGGGCTATGGGACTTTTGGTTATTGGGATGATTGGGTTTAGGGATTATTAATGATGGGTTTTAGTCTGATTATGGAGTTACCGGGACGATCGATTATTGAGTAACTGGGTTTATTGACTATTGAATTATTAGATTTATTTCTTATTGGGATTATTGAGTATTAGCATTGTTGAGCTGTTGGGATTATTTAAACATGGAGTTTGAGATATTGGGATTATTAATTGCTAAATTACTTGGATTGTTAAACTGTTGAGTTATTGGGATTATTGATTATGGGATTATTGAGCCCTCAGGATGTATTTAATCCTGGAGTTTGAGTAATTGGGATTATTAATTGTTATTGGGATGATTATTGGGGAAGGGGGAATTGTGCACACTGTCTGTGAGAAAATTCAGTACAACCCCCCAAAGCTACCGTAGCCTCCGACAGTCGGCCCGCCCCCGCCCCGCCCCGCCCCGCCCCAGCTGAGGCTGCCCCACAACGGGCCCTTACCAGGAGTAGAGGAAGAAGACGAAGAAAGGCATGGAGGCGGTGAACTGCAGCCAGCGCCAGTCTGGGAGCGCGTAGGCCAGGCCGGGGAGGACGATCTGCCCCAGGGTGGCGCAGTACCCCACTGCTGTCCCGGCCACCGTGCGGAAGTGGGTGGGCACCCACTCGACCACTGCAGAGGCGCCCGCCGGGGCATTAGCAACCCCCCAGGGGGATCGGGCAATGGTAGGGGTCTATTTCAAGCCCCAGGGGGTGCTCTGTGGACTCGACCACCCAGCTACTTCATAGCCTCGGTCAAGTCCCTTTGCCCCCTCCCATGATTGGCGGTCTCTGACTCCGGAGCCCCTGGTGCTAGGGGCTGTACGGGCCCCAAAGACGTGGTCCCAGCCCAGAGGGACCGGTGGGGTGGCCTGGGGAGGAGGTGGGCATCTAGCATTCTCCTCGCCTGTCCTTCGGTCTACCTCATGCTAGAGGGCGGGGCCTAGACCCCAGTCCATCACTCACAGGAGAGGGGGTGGGGCCTGTGAAGCACCCAATTATCAATGGTTGATTACTGGGATGACTGGTCTATTGGATTTTTTCAGGGGGAAGGTGTGTTGTATATGAGAAAGTAGGGTACCCCCCATGGGTCCCCACTATACTGCTAATAATGGGCCTAGGTGGAGGTTGGGGCATTACCATAATGCTGCTAATAATTGCGCATGCAATAGGGTTGCATCTAGCTATTACCATAATACTGCTAATAATAGGCATGCATGGTGTGTGGAGAACTACCATAATACACCTAATAACTGTGTAGGTTGGCATACTGCCGCAATACTGTTAATAAAGAGCATATGTGTAGGCTGGGGTACTGCCGTAATACTGCTAATAACCGGGCAAGCCATTTGGCAGCGCCAGCCACTACCAAACACTGCTAGTAGTCCTGCACTCAGTGCAGCAGCCGCTGGTATAACAAGCAGTAGACGATCGGGGTGGGGTCCTCTAGCTGCTACTGTAAGTCTTGTAAAAAACGTGCACCCAGTTCTTTCAAGCACTGGTTTTCCCCCTTCCTTGACCGCGAGGGTCCCTTACCCAGCGACATGCAGTTGAGGACGACCCCTGAGAGGGCCATGCCCACCAGGAAGCGGAAGACACAGTAGGCAGGGAAGCTTGGGGCAAAGGCGGTGCAGGTCCCCGAGACAGCCATCTGCAGGTAGGACCAGCTCAGCAGCGCCTTGCGCCCGAACCTGAAAGGGGGTTGGGGTTGGATGGGGTAACAAAGCTCGAGTGGGGCTGTGTGCCCATTCATCCAGCCATCTGGCTGCCCCTACCCTGATCTGCCCATCCACCCATC